GGAACTCTCTGGTAACTGGAGACGATACGCAGCTTTGCCAATGCGTTCTAGCACTTCAAAAGGACCATAGAAACGCGCAGCTAATTTCTGACACAAGCGCCTTGTAACAGAGTGTTGGCGATAAGGGCGTAACTTCAAAAAGACTTTCGAACCCACGTCAAACTCCACATCTCTACGTCTCTTATCCGCTTGCCTTTTCATTATATCTTGTGCCCTTGACAGAGAAGTCTTAATCTCTGTTAACATCTCATCACGTTCCTTCAGCATTACTTCCAGCTCAAAGTTCTTTGTAGACCCATCCTCAAACGATAAGAGTTGTGAAGGATCACGTCCGTAAAACACCTTGAAGGGAGTGGTGTTCAAAGCTGTATGGAATGACGTGTTGTACCAGAATTCAGACCACGCCAAATACTTGAACCATGTTTTCGGATGAGCGGAAGCAAAACATCGCAGATATGTTTCTAAGCAGCGATTCAACACCTCTGTTTGACCATCAGTTTGTGGGTGAAACGCTGAGCTGAATTTCAATTTTGTACCCGACAACCTGAAACTCTCTTTCCAAAACGAGCTCAGAAAAATTTTGTCTCGATCAGACACGATGGACGAGGGATACCCATGAAGCTTAACAATCTCTTCCACAAACTTTATTGCTACATCCGCAGCTGTGAAGGGATGCTTCAAGCCGATAAAATGTCCATATTTGCTCAATCTGTCAATCACCACGAAGATAACATTCATACCCCCAGACTTAGGTAACCCTTCAACAAAGTCCATACTGATATCTTGCCATATCTGTGACGGAATCGGCAATGGTTGAAGCAATCCCGCAGGTGCCAAGGTCGAGTACTTATGTGTTTGGCAAACGTTACACTCGGCAATGTATTTCTGAATTTGATTGCGCATTTGTGTCCAATGAAACACTTGTTGAATCCTTTTCATGGTACGCAGAACTCCTGAGTGACCCCCCATAAGGCCGTTATGACACTCCTGCAGTATCAGCGGAATGAACTTAGAGTTTGCAGGAATGAACAGCCTTTTCTTGTAACGTACTCGACCGTCAATAACAACTAAACCCTTCTTAACAGTTTCACCTGCGAGTATGCGGTTCTTAAGCTGATTCAAGTAACTGTCACTATCAATTTCAGAGTATAGGTCCTGCAATTGAATAGCCTGTGGAACCGTAAGCGACAATAACTGTGAGTTTCCCTCTTCTACTTCACTCGACAGCATCCCTGATAACCCATCAGCAGCTTTATTCTCCACTCCTGGTTTGTACACGATGTCGAATTGGTAGCCCAACAATCGTGTCAACCATTTGTGATATTCCATTGAAACCTCCCTTTGTTCCAAAAGAAATTTTAGGCTTTTCTGATCTGTGTGTACCACAAATCGTCTCCCAACTAAGTAATGCTTCCATTTCTGAACCGCAAACACAATAGTCATCAACTCACGTTCATATATTGGCTTCAACTGTTCTCGAGGTGTCAATCCATAGCTGAAGTATGCTATCGGCTTCTTATTCTGCATTAAGACAGCACCTAATCCAAATCCAGATGCATCTGTTTCTAGCACAAATATCTCTGAAAAATCAGGTAGTGCCAATACTGGAGCCGAAATCATGGCGTTTTTCAGCTCATCAAAAGCGTTTTGAGCTGCGAAAGACCATTGAAAACTATCCTTTTTTAGAAGCTCTGTTAACGGCTTTACAATCAGACCATAACCTTGTATAAAACGTCTATAATATCCAGTGAGTCCTAGAAATCCTCTCAACTGTTTGACTGTTTTTGGTGTTGGCCAAATACGTATTGCTTCGGTTTTAGCTAGGTCTGTAGCTACTCCCTCTATTGATATAATATGTCCGAGGTAATCAACTTTGTATTGACCAAACAAGCATTTCTTTTTGTTGGCGAATAAGTGATGCTCTTCGAACACCCTCATCACTTCCATCAAATGCTTCGCATGATCTGCCACTGATTTGCTGAAGACAAGGATGTCATCAAAGAAGACTAAGACAAACTTTCGTAGATATGGTCAAAAAATCGCATTCATCAAGGACTGAAACGTAGCAGGGGCATTTGATAACCCAAACGGCATTACCAGAAATTCATAGTGCCCCTCATGTGTTCTGAAAGCAGTCTTCTCGATGTCTTGCTCTTTCATCCTAATTTGATGATATCCGGACCTCAAATCCAACTTAGAGAATATCATTGCTCCATGCAATTCATCTAAGAGCTGATCAATGACGGGTATGGGAAACTTATCCGGAATGGTGGCTCTGTTTAGTGCTCTATAATCAACACAGAACCGCCACGAGAAATCCTTCTTACGCACCAATAGCACTGGACTAGAGAAAGGACTCTTACTGGGTTGAATGATACCCGTTTGTAGCATTTCTATGACCATCTGTTCCATCACCTCTTTACTCGCATGTGGGTAACGATAGGGTCTAACAGAGATTGCCGTGACCCCAGGATTCAGATGTATAGAATGCTCATGTCCCCGGAGTGGAGGTAACCCTTTCGGAGCGGCAAAAATGTTTTGAAAGTTGTCCAGTATTTCTTGAATTTCTTGTGGAACCATATTTTGCTCATCCACTAAGGCCGAGTGATTCTTGAATTCTAAGAGAACACCTTTGTAATTAATTGTATTTGTGGAAGACATCGCTTTGAAAGACAATTTTTGTGTGTGTAAGTCAGGATCTCCTTTCAAAATGACTGTCCTTCCTTTATACGTAAACTTGAACTCATGTAAGTCCCAATCAACCATACACTTTCCTAGCGTCCGTAACCACTGTACCCCCAGTATAATGTCAGCACCTCCCAGCTCCAAAGTGACAAAATCACTGATGAAGTGAAGTCCTTGCGTGACAAATTCCACTTGAGTACAGACTCCCAATCCTTCGACTGTTACCCCAGTACCTAATAGTACCTGTAATCCCCTTGTCTGAAGCAATTTCAACTTAGCTTGCTCCACAACGTGTGGAGCTATGAAGTTGTGCGTTGCCCCACTGTCAAGCATAATGATCACGTCTGTTTTACCAATGCTCCCTCGCATTTTAGTTGTCGTAGGCGAGTCAACTCCAAGGAAAGCGTTCAGAGACAGTGTCATCAAATATTGTTCAGGAGGTGTGATTTCTTCAAACGTATCTCCCACTTCATCCTCAAAAACCTCCACTGTAAATTCCTCCACTACTGTTAACACTTGGAGGCTTTTATTTGGACATGTAAGGGAGTGATCTCTGGTCCACTTTGCAGGACACTTGAAACACAGACCCAACCTCTTCCTCTCTTTCAACTGTTCTCGATTATACATGTACTGCGGTCTTGGCGCTTGTTGATCTGACACAGTCGCGCTCAGCTTTTCATTACTGGACTGTGTCTGAGTAACTGCCCCTTGCTTCGAGCTGTTGTAGTACGAAGAAGAACGCAACGGAGCAAAGTTTGGAATACGTTTATTGTTGCCATGTGTCTGAGATCCCCCACTTAAAACTTGACATAACATGCTGGATTCCATCTTCAAAACCGCGTTTTTATGCTGAGTTATCCCCCGAGGCTCTTTGATTTTGATGACTTCTTGCATCTCAGGTTTCAGTCCATTGTAAAACACATCCACCAAGGTCTTCTCATCAAGATTCGGGACCACCGTAGCCAATTCTTCAAACTCATTGACATACGCCGTGATAGATCCCAATTGTTTGATGCTAAAAAATCTCTTCCCAGGTTCCTCTTCCAAGCTACCACTGAACCTGTCGACTAGACGTCTCTTAAACTGAACCCAATCTGTAAATAGTGCAGTTTTCATCTCGCCGTTAAACCAATTCAACACCGGACCTTTGAGACTGACTGAAACCAATTGTAGACGCGATTCTCCCACATAATTTCCCAATCGGAAAAATCTTTCAACCCGTGCAATCCAACTGTACGGATGTGTTCCCTCAAAGATCGGCATGTCTACTTTCCGTAACAAATTCTCATGATTCTCTAAAGCATTAGCCATAGACCGATAACCTAACGTTGTATCACCTCCGTCAGGTTCCAAGGGAGAATTTGGTACCTGAGATGTATCGGCTGATGATGTTGCTACGGTCTTTCCCTGTGATTTCTCTACCCGCGCCAACATCTGAGTGATTAGTTGGAGGCTACCATCGAGTTTATCAAATTTCTGATCTAGCAAATCGAGTCGAGTTTCCATCGTCGAAAATCGAGTTTGATTCATCGTATACTCCCGATTCAAACGAGCCCAGCCTCCTTTGACCACTGCGACTTGTTGAGCGAGATCCTGCACCGTCTCTTGTATCTCGTTCGGCAATTGCTCGGATTCCTCTAAAGATCCCATCGCAAGTTCGATCAAGTCACGCCGCACCAATTTGTTATGAACAGAGAAGTGAAATGAAAGAATCGAAGGTCTCTTTATTGATTATGTAAACGAACTACTCTAATATTCGAATTACAAAGAGAGACGTTCACCAAATCACCACTGTCGAACTCCAAGTTTCAACAATCTGAAGTTTTAAAGTAGAAGACGGATAAAGAAAAACAAATGTTAATCCCGAACATATATACACACAGTTCGGATTAACCGCAAACTCTCTCTTCGCTTCAGAGTCTTTGCTTTTCTTCTTATTTAGTCCTCAAGGTCTTTGATCGACTTTTTCTGACCCGTAACTCTCTTCTTCTTCCGATAGTACGTTCTTCTGAGCATATCAGTTTCCTACCGTGATCTTCATCCTCTGTATCTTATTTGTCTCTTTGTTATGGAATTTGATTTCCACCTTAGTATTCCATCTTGTATTCTATTTTTTTCACCATATATCTCACTTTGGTAATAAAATTTAGTTGAAGAGAAAACAAAAAAAAAGTAGAATATACGACGAGAGAGGCCTTTTTTGGTTCATAAGCCGAGAAAGGTACCTAATTAAAGGCAGTAAATCAAATATTATTGGCTAGCAAGTGGGTGAGGTATAATTTGGAATATTAGCAGTCTAGCTATTAGAGTGGTCGGTTTGGAATACCACAAACAGAAAATAAAGAAAGAAAGAAATAAGAAGACAGTATGTGATGTACGTAGAATCAGTTTTAGATTCTTGTACATCACTAGACAAGAAAAAGATTGTGGTGATGAGTTCACCGATCCGGGTTAATGCAACTCCCGAAACACTATAAATATAAGTTACAATTAGTAGAGGGTCCATAAGATACTAAAAACAAAAACAATTAAAGCAGAAACCACTTGGTTGTTTTAAAATCGAAGATGTCAGGTCCAAGAGATCCTCTTGTAGTTGGGAGAGTTGTTAGTGACGTTCTTGAACCTTTCACGAGATCGATCTCTCTAAGGGTTACCTATGGCCAGAGAGAGGTGACTAATGGGTTGGATCTAAGGCCTTCGCAAGTTGTCAACAAGCCAAGGGTTGAGATTGGTGGAGAAGACCTCAGGAATTTCTACACTTTGGTAAATTCCATTAAACTCTCTTTCTTTCTCCCTTCTTCTTTAGTTTCTTCATTGCTTATTTACTCTCCTGTTTAAAAATATTTGGCAGACCTTAGCTAAATGCTCTCTTTTTCTTTTTTTCTTTTTCTGGTTTCTTTTGATTTTTTGTTGGTTTTGCTTTTAGATACTCAAATCGAAAAGTAATTTACCTATTTCACTTTTTACCATGAAGATGAATACATTAGATATTTCATCCCATCCCAGGTTAAATGTAAATAATTCTAGATTCTACCACAGTTGTCTTCTTTCTTTGCCTCTTATCTATATCACAGATGTTATTTATGACAAAGTTTTTGCATAATTGTCTTTTTATTTTGGGTAAGAAGGGTATTTTCTTTGTTCATCAAATACTTTAAATTGTATTTGTTTGTTTTTTCTTTTCAATTATACGATACTTTTAAAAAGGCAAAAAAATATATCTGGGTTCGAATATGCAAAAGAAAAATATAAAAAGGATGTTCAGTTAAATATATATTGATGAATATATATATGATCCCTGTTGTGGAATATTTGATGACTGTTTGAATAACTAGTATATTCAATCCAGTCTTTTAGATACTCTGCTATATAGAGACATGTAGCTACTACCTTACCTGTTTCTATTTCATTTTTTTCTTTCTTTCTTATGTTATCCAATTTCTCAAACTTCAAAAAAGAGAAACAAACATTATTTTTTGCTTTCTGTGATAACTTTGAGAATGACAGTCTTATCTTTATATTCTTATTTTAACGGATTTTAGTGTTCATGGGTTTAATGAAGGTTATGGTGGATCCGGATGTTCCAAGTCCTAGCAACCCTCACCTTCGAGAATATCTCCATTGGTTTGTGCGCTAATTTAACTAATTCATTCAGTTTAAGTTTAAACTTGTTCCGTACGAACATATATTGGAGACTTTGAACTAGTAGGATCACTGATAGCACCAGAGTTAAACATTGACGTTTAATGATGGGACATAAAAAAAATCACCATTAGGAAAGCAAATTATTCACTTTATTTCCTAATAATTAAAGCCCTTACGCCTAGGTTAACTCGAAGAGAATTTCAGAAACTTGACATGTGCTCTCTCTCTCTGTAATTTTTTTTTTCTTAAACTGGGCAACAAATAGATTCTAAAGAAGTATAGGACATAACTTGTACTAAGATTTGGTTTTCCACTTTAAACTGTTGTTCGTACCGAAAATTCTTAGCTTGATGACGTGTCTTTGTGACTTGAAGCAGGTAGGACTAGGTTTCTTGTTATATCACAGCTACTATACAAAATATCTCTTTTTTAAGACTATATATATATATATATATTTTTATTTTTTATTTTTTGATAACTAGTCTGACTTTTATATAGGCGTGCACCATAAGAAACTTTCACATACTCGATTTAAATGTTGATGCGTGTTTTGGAGTCACGCGCCCCGAAAAATCTGTTGGTTTATAATCACAATTAAACTATATGGATCTCATTAGCACAAATAAACTAATAATACTTGAAACTTGATTATGTTTTTGCATGAATATCATTTTAATTAATGTGGCAGTGCCATATCTAAAAATAAGTGCATGGGTACTCTCATGACAGGTTGGTGACTGATATCCCTGCGACAACTGGAACAAACTTTGGTGAGTTTTATTCTATAGATTGATCACTCTAGGCAGTAGATAGAAAGATTAAACATAATGTCTATTGTTTGATAATTGTTTTCAAGGCAATGAGATTGTGTGTTACGAGAGTCCAAGGCCCACCTCAGGGATCCATCGTATCGTGATGGTATTGTTCCGACAGCTCGGGAGGCAAACAGTGTATGAACCAGGGTGGCGCCAAAACTTCAACACTCGTGAGTTTGCTGCGATATACAATCTTGGCCTCCCCGTGGCTGCGGTTTTCTTCAATTGTCAGCGGGAGAGTGGCTGCGGAGGACGAAGAAGTTAGATGGCTTCTTCCTTTGATCCATTGATATTGAAAACTCTTAACGAGATTTATGCATCTATATATAGTATTATAATAACCATTTTATGATACGAGTAACGAACGGTGATCGATGGTGACTATAGTAGTATAATATGTGTGTAATAAATGAGAGGGGGAGATAAAAATGAGAGTGCCTTTTTACTTATAGTGTGTGTGATGCAGTATTATATATTTATTCTACATGAAATAAAGTGTTATATTGCTACGTTACGTATATTTAATTTATTTTTGATGCAATGGTATCTTCTTAACATTCGGAAAAAGGAGTAAAACACGCAGTGACATTGGAATCTGCTTTGTGTTTTACTTTTGACATCATGATGATGATCCCATACTCCACTTTTCTATTGTAGGTAATCATCATATTTATGTATCTATAAAGTGGGAAAAATATACATCTGATTTCTAGTTGTAGATTCTGACGATTAGTAGTGGACTTCCACATGAAATCCCTTAATTATACAAAAAATTGTTGAGGTTAACTTGAACATTTGTATTTATTTACCATCATGCGACGATGCTCTTCTTCCCAACCTTTAGATCAACAATAACCTTTATTCCTTTTAAGCTGTCCCAAACTCGTTCGATTTTTCTTTAACATGTTTTTACTGACCAGTAAATTGGGGTATGATCACGATGCACAATGAATAACTGATACACGAGGGTTAAAAATCGGAAGAGAAATCTGGCTAAGAACCATTTTGCTAGGAGATCTACTGATTTATTTGGCTTTTGCCAGTCCTATACAAGGAAAGTACTGTATGAGTCTATGTCAAGTTATTAAAATAGTCCACGATACATATTACAACATTTAAGTGTTTTTTTTTATTACTCCATCCATTTCATATTCAAAATTGTTTTAATCAAAGAAGAAATATAATTTTGTGTGATGTTGAAATAACAAATGAGTTACTTGATTTTTTTTTATCATTAATATAAATGAGAATTATGATAAAAAAAATTAAAAAAAAATTTCTTTATTTCTATGCAATTTATCTAAAAGTCAAATGAGTTATAATTTCTTATTTATAACGAAAAAAAACAGCAGCCATACAGGAAGTTTACAAGAATCTTATTCTCGTAAACATCCGTGCTTATCTAAACCAGAAATAGTAGCAGAAGAAGAATTCGCATCCCAAAAAATAGAAAGTGTCTAGTTATATAAAGCAAAGTTATTAAGAGATAAAAAGCAATAGGAGATTTTCAGCAAAAAGAAACAAAAAAGGAGTTGTAGCACAATTTTTGTTTTCCGAAAAGACGGAGATAAGAGAATATTGTCATAAAGAAGGATTGATTGTAGTTCGATTGGTGCACGTGTTCCACCTCTTGGGACTTGATCATTCGCATGTGGCAGTACTATGAATATAACATGTCACTATGTCAGTAACCAACAAAAACCAATTGGTCCATTATTTTCAGATTTTCACCATCAAACGGTCAGTCTTGTCAAACCAATCAATACAACACTCCTTGTGTATGCTATGACTACAGAGATACATATATAGATTTGAATAGTTGATAACGTAACACCTCGACCACTTTTGTTAGTGGGTCCATTATTTTTTAGTTGACTATTGGTCTATTTATTTTATCTATGTTTTATAAGTAATTTATTTTTAGGTTTTTTTTTCAATAACCATATTCGAAAAATAATCGAAGAATATAGCTATGATATTTGAAAAATTAGTAAACTAACTATGGCCCACAATCAATTATCAAAAATAACCTTGTACTATATGATACTACATACTATACTATATATAATTTTATGGAATAGTCCAATTTGATATAGTATATACAAAAAAAAAGAGGAAGGAAAGGAAAAACACGAAAAAGAAGGGGAGGAGAGGAAAGCGGAGGCAAAGAGAGAGGAAGGGAAAGATGAGAGATGAGATGAGCCGATGTGAGCAAAGGAAAGGAAATAAAAAAGGATGAGAAGAGAAGAGAAGATCGTAAAGGAAAGAAATTAAACAAAAAACAAAAAAAGGTAATTTTGTATATATTGTAGAATATATGAAGAATACTATAGCACATAATTTGCTATGGTTAATTTATGAATTTAGCTTGGAAATATGGTCATATGACCCAATTTCCTTTTATTTTTTTTGGTAAAAAATTCCGAATATTTGTATTGTGAACTATTTTATAAATACTATGAAATTAATCTGTATATGTTATATGATGAGGACATGGACCAATCATTCGTATTGGGAGAGGAGGAATCGGGACATGAGCTTATATCATCGGTCAATGGCTTACCAATAACATATTCTAAGATTATGAGACTAAGAAAAAGGTTTAAAGCCATAAAGACCCTCTTCATCAACATAAACGCAACGATGTTTAACCTCCAGAAGAGTTCCATTGCACCCAATATAGACATCATCAAGGATTTTGCTAGGATGAGTCTCAAAAAGATCAGCTGAGTAAGAACCAGGGTATGTCCATTTACTTAAACAGGAAATAGAGTCCAAAGCACCAACAATTTCGCTAATGTCGTGCATGAACATCAAGCTATCGCAAAAACAAGCCAAATAGTCGAGAGAGGATAAATGGAGCAAGAAGATGTTTTAAGCAATGATCGTGGGAAAACTCTTAAAGAAACCTATCAACTCGACTTCAGTAGACATCAGTATGAAGAGAACTCGAAAGAACTTGCCCCTACAAAACCAGGACATGAAACCTTCACCAACTTGCCAAACAAGCTTAATGCACTAAAACCAGGTATATTTAATTTGTACAATTTGTGCTGGTAAGATAACTTGTCCCAGCAGTTCTTAACACAACCAAGAGCCACCAGTTCGAGCCCCAAAGACACCAAGAAAGTTAGCTTAGTTTTGCTTTTTCTTTTAAGTAGTTAAATGAACTTTTCATTTTTGTAAGGTTTGCCTTTATTGCGTTTTGCTTCCTTATATCTTTTCTTTTTGTTTTACGTTTACATTCAGCCCTAGGACTAGCTGATGAACTATTTATAAAGCTCCCTTTTAGCGTTGTATTTTTGGTTATCCTGCATATCAATAAAGAGACCGAACTTTCTTCTAAAGCTCAAGCCGCCGCTTCTCCTTAGATCTTTGCTTGTGTTCTTGCGTGAGTGATTCACCAAGGCTCGAGTGTTTGCTGTATCAGAGAGCTTACCATTCTCTATGTGGTGCCATCGGTCCACTTCATCAACCATTCACCGATGCATCAAGAGAGCGCGACCAAGTCAGCTTGATAGATCCCACCTCGACTCAAGCCTTGTCTAACAAGTCTTGTTCTATCATTTCCATACCTTGGCCGGTACGAGAGAATGTCATAGCTGGCATATTATCCCACCAAACCACCCATTCTGCATCATATAAGTCTCTCGTACTGAGTCTACATACAATTTTTTTAATATAATTTTAAAATTATTTAAAATAGAAACAATTTAAATAATATTTTGTGTATATAATATATTAGTAACAATAATATCTGTATATAAAATTTGATAATTAATATTAATATTTTTTATATGAATGTAATTACATAATTATAATAGTATTATAATTATTTAACACATTATAATATTATCTTTAACTATTTTGACTATTTTATATAATATGTTTCTTAAATTTCTATCAAATTTAAACATTTATATTGTTTGGTTAATTTATATGGTTTTATTAAAAAAATTATTTTAAGCAAAAAATACCTATAAATATATATGTCTATTAAATGAAGTTTCGTGCTTTTATATATATAAAAATATCCATTATGTTTTTATAATAATTTTTGAACCATCTACATTTTTTTTTATTTTTAATATGTGATTTTTGAAACATAATTATATTTATTAATCATTTGAGTAAATTATATTTATTTTAAAAATTTTAATTATAACATATGTACATAAAAACATATTTTTTGCTAAAACATAATGTAAAAATAATAATTAATTTGATGCTATTTTGGTAAACAGTAGAAAGAAAAAGATGATATTGATAATGAAATATTAAACTATATATATACAACTGATATAAATTATGGTCTAACCAATTAATATGAATGATATATGATGTAATTATTTTAGTAACAATTTCTTTTTAAACGTTTTTACAAAATGACACCACTGTAATTAGCAAAATGATGTTAATCTCCAAAAAGATGATATTGATAATGAAATATTAAACTATATATATACAACTGATATAAATTATGGTCTAACCAATTAATATGAATGATATATGATGTAATTATTTTAGTAACAATTTCTTTTTAAACATTTTTACAAAATGACACCACTGTAATTAGCAAAATGATGACACATCAGCAAAATGACACCACTGTAATTATTACAAAATGATGTTAATCTCCAAAAATGCTTCTCCATTAATATATAAAAGATAGAAGAGAAGAGAGATAAACATGAGGAAATTATACTTTTTATTTACTTTTTATGTTTTTATATTTTTTTGTTCTCCACATATCACAAATTGATGAGATGATAAATGGATAATCATTCAATTTACATACTTTCCTTTATTATTCACCAACAATGATGAATCCTCGATATATATTAATTGATAAATATTTTTAAAGACTAATTTCAGTTTCATACGTAATTATATGCCATTCATATTAATTAGTAAACTTGTAATTTATATCAAATATATATATATAGATAATTTATCATTTAATTAAATAATAACCTGCATTATGTACATGATAAAATAATTATTAATACATAAGTTGGTATAATTTTAAAATTATATAATATATTAAAATTAATTTATATATCATTATGCTATAATATTGATAATATTTTTTTATTTTTATTTTTAATAAAATATGGAATAATTTAATTGTAGTATAAATTAATCGTAATAGAAATTAATTGAAAAATTAAATATCATACACATAGTATAAGATATAGGTGGATAAAAATAGTAAGTCACCATATATATTTTATATACTTTGTCATTGACGATATGATTCATTGTTACCACCAATGTCCAAGCTTTGAATATATAATATTTATGTATAAATTATTTACTTTTGACTTTTGGATAATGATTATTATTGGTTAAACTGTTTGAATAACCAAATGAATTAAAAGAAGACATAATTATTATGTGTTTAATTTGTAATAAATTCAAAATCTTATTATGAATGGTGGATAATTAAATCTAGAGTCAGGAATAGCTGAATACATCGTTAACCGATTCCACTGGGGATAGATTGGCCGGTTGCCGGTTGCCAAATTAGATCGATTGGCCAGCAAATTTTGGGGTTTTGATGGATCGGTCACGACCGTCTCT